CTGTCACATGCCGCCAGATGAACCTGCTATTTTAGTTGCAGGCACTAATGCCTCCATCCAAACCTCCTGAGGCAGCAAGGTACAGAATGTTTTGAATCAATTGCCTTCTGTTTTCCTTCCTGTACGTGGGCCTCGGTGCCTGTTTCGGATAAGATTGACTCGAATCCTTCCTGAATTCTGGCAGCCCTGGTTTGGCTTGGAGTTAATTATCTCTAATATGCTGTACAATTCCCTCTGTGCCTTTTATGACATGGAGCCGAGGCATAATTTATCCAAGTCTATCATTGGAGACTTCAAGAGAAAACAAAATATCGTGCGGGCCTTATGAAAGCTGGTTCCGTCAGTCGATTGTTTATTTGCTGGATGTTTGTGAGGAGTTACCTCTGGGTCTTATAACTCATCACCAAGCTAGTGTCCCTCCCCTCCCCCAGCCTCTCTCAGGTTGCCGTGCTCATCATCCATTGGCAGAGAGGAGGAGAATGCTAAGCTGAGAATGAAGAATCCCTGGCTGCCCTGGAAATTCTCATTTGCTTCCCTGGATCCTCTCCCCACCCTTTGCCCTCTCTCTGTTCCAGGCTACTGTGTCCTCTGGGCTCCCTGCCAGTTCAGCCAATGGGAGGCCCTGGCATGGGAAGACAGAGGTCAAAGGTTGTTCTCTGTCCTGCCCAGCTGGTGTCACGTGCGTGCCCCTCTCTGTGTCCCTCATGGATCAGTGTCTCTCTCACAGGCTCACTTCCAACACCACCCTCCTTGGTTGGCCCCTCACCCTCACTGTACTCCTTACGTGTTTTCTTTCTCTAAACCATCTGCAGTGGGACTTCTTCCTCTGGAAGTCTTGTGAGAGGCCATGGGACTGGTCATGCGGTGGGCCTTGGCCACATGACATATCTGCCCACAGCCCTCGTCATCTTGCCCTCCCACCCTGTCAGACTCCACTAGTACTGGTTTAGTTTTAGATAAGAAAAAGATAACTTAGAAGAAATCAGACCTTTTCTGGAATCTCCCAAGAGTATGTATTTGCTTCTAATACTCGATTCAAACTCTCCCAGGTTGAAATCAATTATTTGGTTTATTTGATTCCCTTTGAAAGACTTTTGTAAATCCAAAGGTGAAGTTGTATCAGGGAGCTACAGCAAAGGACCAGCAACCTGAAAACAACAGAAACATTCCCTCCCACTCCTGGCAGCCAGAAGTCTCCAGTCAAGGTGGGCCATGTCCCCCCGAACCCCAGTCAAGCACCTCCTAGCCTCTTGCTGGATTCTGGTGGCAGTTGTCGATCCTGTGGTTTCTGGGCTGCAACGCCGTCTGCCCCCTGCCTCAGTTGTCCCAGAGCGCCCTGCCTTCGTGTCCACGTGTCCAGGGCTCGTCTTGTCTTACGATACACCAGTCAGTTTGGATTAAGGGCCCACCTACTCCAGTGTGACCTCATCTCAACGGATTATGCTCCATGACCGAATAAGCCACACTTGGAGGAGCTGAAATCCAGGACTTCCACAAATGTTTCTGGGAAACACATTTTAACCTATAAAAGAGCGACTGCTAAAAACTGATAACCATCTTTGGTGGGGAAATCTGACCTCCCTGAACATTATTTAAGAAAAAGAGGTCCAGAGCTGCAATAAAGCGGGCAGGCTCCTCTTTCTATTTACTTACTTTTAAGGCCACTGAACAATGGTGTTTTCAGAGCAAAGCAATGCTTGTGCAGATTGACCCTGTCAGGAGTGATGAGAATGGCGAGGAGGAGACTTAGAGCCATGAAGGATTCCATACATCCCCGTTCTCATAGGACTAACAGGGCCAGTGGGTACGCAGGGATGCTTTTAAGACCTGCTCATTCTTGCCTTTCTTAGTGACATTTCTTGATCTGCACCAGCCTGTACACTATATAAGAATAGGAGGGTGCCACAGTGGGGGAAACAGAGAAGATCCTGGGGTCTAAAGAAAGAGGCTTTGAATGCATTCTACAGGGTGATAAGCATCAACATGTCTTCCCTGCCTCCCCCTCCCTCTCTCCGTCCCTCCATCCATCCATCCTTCTACCCACTCTTCTCCCCAGCTTTTCCTCCTCTCCTTGATGGGCTCCTGGTATGTACCACATCATGATATCATATAATCTTTCCAAAGGAAGACTAGGCCTTAGATATTAGCTTGTTGGAAACAGAAGTGGGCCCACTGAGGTGTGCGGCCGGGAGGCCGGGAGAATACAAGGGACTTTTGTGTCCAGCTATGACATGATGTAGGTACCTAATAAACAAATGCCAACGCATTCCTAGGACCCCAGGGCAGACCCTGGGTTGGAGCGGGAAGGAAGGAACCTGAGTTCCTGTGCCTTTTCAAGACCTCAAAAGCTGGGCCTAGAGACACATGCCTGGAATCCCAGTGCTGGAGGGGCTAGGCAGGAATACGGTGGGACTGAGGTCAGCCTGGGCTACATCTCCTAAGCCTACAAGAAGAGTCTTCGAGGAGGCGCAAGGCTGATGGGAGCTGTCAGAGCTTGTAGCTTCCCATCAGTATAATGAAACACCCATGATAATCAACTCTACAGAGAGAAGGTTCACTTTGGTTCACGGTTTTGACCAGATGGGCCCATTGCTAGGAGACTCTGGTGGACGTACCACCTGTCGTTGGCTGTTTACTGCATGAGCAGAAAACAAGACAGGAAGGAGCTAGTGTCCATAATTCCATTCAAGGTCACAGCGACCCACCCCCAAATAACCAAAGTACCTTCCACTCCTAAAGGTCCCACACTGCCTAGTAATACTGCCACCACCCAAGGGACCACGGTCAGATAGAGGTGTAGACGCTGCTAACTCCACTATTGTCATGGTTGTTAATGGAGTGGGCTGGTGAGGAGCAGGTGATAAAGTCTATGAGCTGGGCCTGTATGAGACTGTGGAGAATGTCAGGGCTTGAGAAGACTGGAAAGCCCATCTATCCCAAAGGACACTGCAGCCTCAGCACCCACAGACTCTAGTTCAGGGTGGCCAGTTACTCTTACCTTTCCCCAAATAGACTTAGAAGTTGGAATTTTTAGGCACAATCTTCCATTGTAAAATATTGAACATGAATATTTTTAAAGGTTTTTAAATCTCTTGCCAAACAAAGAAGAGGAAAATGACCCCTGCAGAGAAATCACCAGCTAATATCCTGGTTTCGAATGTTAATACATACTAAATGTTTACTACTGCTTACATCCACAAAACCAAGTATCTAAACTTTATTGCGTCTGACTCTCTGGTATGTCTACAGGTGAAATGAGGCAGTACCTGCTGGTAGGGAGGGTGTAGATCACCAGACTGGATGCCCTCAGGCAGGGGCTAGGCCTAGGGCTGTGGATCAGATCTGTGTCACATGTTAAGACACAAAACTCTGGAGCATGCTACACACCTAAACATTTTTAAGTTTTTGCTTCATTCAAGCAGAAGCATGGGGAATATGTGTGGGAATGAATTTCAAGGGTGTGGGGTAACGGTGGAAGGAACAGAAAACTGGATCAGGCTAAGCCTGTTGATACAGCCCAATGACAGAGATTCTAGGTTTGATATTGTAGCTTGTATAGTTAAAAATGGTACCAAGCATTTGAGTGGTTGGCTCAAGTGTTTGTCAAAAGATGGCCCACTGAGAAGAAGCTAAAGATGACAGATATCCCTTGGCTTAGAGTTGATGAAGGGATTTTAAGGCTCAGGGAAATTACAATGCTGGAGTAGATTCACTATGAAAACTTAATCCTCCACATGGGTGTGCCCAGAAGACATGCCCCTCACTAATAAGACATAAAACGGTAGGAGGAGCACCTTCACATTTGAAGAGTTTTGTGCCTGTTCTTCTCCTCATGTCAGTTCTTAGGACAGGTGATGCGGCTACTTAATTATAGGACCCTAATTGGGAGAGGTGAGGTTTGATTTATTTTGTTTTGGCTTTTTCAAGACAGGGTTTCTCTGTGTTTAACCCTGGCTGTCCCAGAACTCACTCTGTAAACCAGGTTGACCTTGAACTCTCAGAGCTCCACCTACCTCTGCCTCCCGAGTACTGGCATTAAAGGCGGAAGCACGCACCTTTAATCCCATGGCCAGGTGTTCTTTGCTGAACTTGGAGTCTAGTTTAGGACTTGGCTAAAGCTCCAACCTAGCCCCTCCTCATTCCCGAGCCCCTGCTCCTTCCTGTTGCCATGCTCTCTCCCTGGCCAGTGTGTCCCCACCACAAAGATAAATGTGTCTCCTCTTTCATGAAGGAGGTGTTGGCAAAGTTGGAAAGCTAGCTGGAAGCTAAAATAAGGCTAGGTGATCCTGCAAGAAAGGGTGGAGGCTTGGGGTGGGCAGGGGAGGAGCAGGTCAGCTCACTGGCTCCTTGACCTTGCAGTTGAGGTCTTTGATGTGAAACACATCTGCATCCATGGCAAGCTTCTGGAACCAGAGTTGGGGTGACAGAGTAGGAAATCTTGCTCCTCTTTCTAAGCTCATTGTCCACGCCTCTACCCAGCCCCCTTCAGGAGCCAAGAAGGCACCCTCCTCCAAAACAATCTCTTGTGCATACTCATCAGCAAGACCCTTCATACCACCTACTTTCAGAGACCTGCCCGCCACTTCTCTATCCCGATCCATTCCCTCCCCAGCATGACGGCCCCGCTCAGTCTGTACAGCACTTGGCACAGTCTAAACATTTCTGTGTTCACCTGATTTCTTTGCACCCTGTCCCTATAGAATGTGAGTCTGAAGTCCTGGGGCCCTGTGTCAGCCTTGTCACTGCTGTGTCTCCAGAGCCTCCAGTGGGTCTGACACCTGTCAGTCCTCAGAAACAGTTGTTGAGAACAGATGGAGAGAGGAGGGGACCTCAGTTCTGCTCTGGATGGCATCACTGCCTTGCTCTCCATCTCTGGAGTTCATTCTTCTTTCCACACTGGGAGGTGGCACCAACTCAGAAAGTGTCCAGGTGTCCTCTGGGGGGG